GAAGGGTCACCCTGTTTATTAACCAATTTGCTGAGCATCAATTAGACAGTCACTAACATTTGCATTTTTCCTAACAAAACTGAGTCTCTTTGAAAACGCTAGCAAGCATTAGAAGGCCTTTGTTTACAGTGGATCATTTTTTGGATCTATACGAACCTTTACTAGATATCAAGCCTCATGTCGTCGTCCCAATATCTGAACAGAGAGGCTACAACCCCTCCGGTACCCTCTGTAAGAAAATAACTTTTAAGATGAGGGAATGTTTTTCCTCCTCATTTATCCCGCATTTTATATAAGAGTGATATATAAATGAAGGGTTTTCTTGCACTAAGATGTTCATGATGTTTTCGTCCGTTTTCTTTTTCATCATAACGGACCCAAAATTAAAAGTTACCCTTATTGCGTTCTAATTGTTATAAACATGTGGGTATCTAGAAACATAATTAATTCAGTTTTTCCCCCAAAGTTTTGTAGAAAAGTTGATAAAAATTAAAACAAAAAGAATTGACAAAGGTCATTATCGCACATCCATAACAGACAACAAAATTACCGCGGCCAACACAGTTTGATGTGTTTGCCGACTGACAAGACTTCCTCTACTACTGAAAACTCATTAAAATCGTCAGTGAGGACCAGTGAGGCTCATTAAAATTCGATGTCAGCTTGAAACACCTCATTATTTTTGCTACTTCTGATCATTATTTAGTAATACGCGACAAATTAACGTATATAGCCAGTTTAGGTAAATAGTTTTGACTGAAGAAAATCAGTCGAAATGATATCAGCTTTGACCCAAATTCAAATATTATGTATAAAACTCGATCACTTGCAGGTCATTGTGCCGAAGTGGAAAATGGCCCTGGAAAATTTTACTGAAGACGAAAACCATAAAACTGTCCAAGAACTGTACTGATGGGCTGAATTTACAGGTGTAGAGAGCGAGCTTATATTCCTTTCGGCTCTAAATATCTTTTTTTCCGTCACTGCATTTCTGGGGAACACTCTGATTCTAGTTGCTCTACACAAGGAAACTTCACTTCATGCGCCGTCCAAACTCCTGTATCGAAACCTAGCGATAACTGATCTCTGTGTTGGTATAATTACAGAACCTTTGTTTGTGACTTACTTAACAGAGAAGTAAGGCAAGTTGTAAAAGAAACATTAACGCAACTCTGCTGTTGATCGAGTTATAAGATTTCTGGGCTTTCCAGCTCTCTCTTCTCAGCTCTTAATTCATGCTTGAATCCTCGTTGATATTAACTGTAAATATATTGTACTGCAAGCATATTCTAGGCATGTCACCCGTTTTTTAGGGGCACGGTATATTATAAA